GAGAGAGAGAGAGAGAGAGAGAACAGAGAGAACAGAGAGAGAGAGAGAACAGAGAGAGAAAGCAGAGAGAGAGAGAAAGAGAGAGAGAGAGAGAGAGAGAGAGAAAGAGAGAGAGAGAGAGAGAGACTAGACTCACCATCAATGATAATGTCCACATCCACAGGTTCGAACCCACTCCCTGAGTAGCCGGAGCCCGACTCGGATAAGTCCTCGTCATCCGAGAACTGCAGCCTTCCCACGCCGCTCCCCTCCAGCTCTGTCCTGTCTTTGACCTGGGAAACACACACAGAGACACTAGTGGTCACTTTACGGAGGTCACAATCATTGTGGTTTTTTAGTAAGAGATTTTGTCTTAGTAAGAGATTTACGGCACTCGCAACACAATAAGGTCATATAAAAGCCGAAGATTAGAGGTGAAACAAGAGAGTAACAAACACAAAATAGAAAGAGGGGAGAATAAGGAAGATAGGTGGATTGGGAAGAAGGAGCAAACCACACCAGAGCACCACACAAAAAAACGGTCACTAAGTGCAGCCACAAAGTAAAGCGTACAGACGAAAAAAGAAAAATACATGTATGTACCGTAATGCATTAAAAAGAAAAATTCTACAAACAACATTCTTTTAATTTATCAGCTCTGGAAGGCTGCCAAGTTCACATGACCCCTCTCGTTTTGAGGTGACAAGTCTTATTGACAGCAACCTTTTCCCCGTAGAGAAAACAGACGAGGGAAAAAGTCAAAGTACAGAAAACTGTGTCGTAGATTTCATCGGTCACAAGAAAAAATACATGGGGTCCTACGTCATCTGTCATTATACATAGTACATTGTCATAATAATGGCTTACTTCATCATCCTTGGGAATTCCAACAATTTTACCGAAAGACAGAGAAGTTTTGTTTTTTGTTTGTTCAAGTAGAAGTTTTACGGCGCTCGCAACTTCATAAGGTCATATGAGCGCCAAGGGGTGGATGTCAACAGAGAAGTCCTTAATTAAAGGGAATCAGGCTTACTCTGCTCACCTCTCTAGCTTCCCGCTTCAACAACACAAAGTCTGCTTCGACTATCAAGGCAACCCGGAAATAGCGGGTCACAAGAGTGTGGCAAACATACAAAAGAAGTACAGGGAAATGACGATAGTAAGGATTAGGAAAGAAAAGGCAGCAGTTCTCTGTTGCAGTTCAGGCACAATTATGAGAATGACATTGTTGAATCAGCCCATTAAAAATTCTACTGTGCATAAGAACAGCCCCCGGCATGGCTTG